ATAAATACTTAAATTTGCTTGCTCACTTACATATTTTCTGCAAAAAAAAAATAAAAATTATTATTCCAAGTTCATGCTTGCATTAATTGTTATTTGTTTGTAAACATTTTCTCTAAATCTTTGCGTTTTTGCTGATTTTTTGGTTTCACGTTTGTTCTTACACAATGCATTCGCCTGAGGTTGAAGGCGCAAGTTAATAAAGTTTTATTTCTGTTTTAAGGCCTTTTTTGAGAAATTGTCAATAAAAGCTGAAAATAAGAAAAAAATATGTAAAAAGATATTGATATATGTTTGGGATCTTGAAATACTACCATGGTACATATGTATGTACTTACAAGGATGTTTGATTATTCGCCTTTTTTCCAAACCCGGGTTTCGATTTATTCCAAAAATTGTAATTTGAAAAAAAAGTTCCCTATTTTGAAATTCAGAAAAACCGGAAAAACGGGTAATTAATTTACAAAAAAAATATTAAAATTAAGGATAGATTGTATTAAGAAGAGCAAGGTAAAATAAGTAAAAAGTTTCTTTAGACCGAAAGAAAACAAAAATCTGTAAAAAATTCACGTTTAGTCTAAATTTAAATTTTTTAATACATTATGCAATTTCACTTAAACTTGACATCTTGTCTAGTTTTACTTAGAAATAGGGAATTATGAAATTTGGTAAAGATGGAATAATTGCCACGCCTTCTACTCTTGTGGGCAGAAATATTAAATTTCATCCGATTTCGATGAAATTTAGTGGTGTGTTCTTTCTTTTATTAGTAAACCTTTAATATAAAATATGGGGAAGATTTGATCACTATAACGTCCAAAACTCACAAAAAATATGGGCCCAGTCGTTAAATGTGATGGAATTCTGGCTAATTTTTGTTCCTGCTTTTCACTCTCAGAAAACAAAAGTTATACTATAAAATGACTCAGGTGTAAACACTCGCTTTTTCCCAATGTTTGGTAAGATTTTCCTATTATTCGAAAAATTCTTTTCGTGAAATTATGCAAAAAGAAGCTGAACATCAAAAATTAGGAAAATCAAAAAATATATATATTTGCAAAGTCGCGCGCAAAGATCAAATTATATATTCTAAAACTACATAAAATTATCTAAAACATTTGTCTGATTTCAAGGCCTGACGGACCGGTACTCCCACTTTTTTTTACCAATAATCTTTAGCATCTAAATTTCAAAGTAAATTTGTTGGTAAGAAAATAGGAAAGTACCAAATAAATGATAAATACCTTCACCTGAATTTTCCACGATATTCAAATAATTGATTACAGTTTAAAAAGAAACATTTTCTGTAATGGGTTAGTCGGTATTCGGTATCGCGCCGATTCCCATATTTCTTTGGAAATGTATCCTTCGTGAAGTAGGAGTGTGAGTAAATAATGTGAAGTGTGAACTGTCACCATGACTTTTTTCTATCTGCCTCCATATAGTCGAAACACTTTGCACCGTAGTCGAGATAATAGATGTGTCTACTGCTACTCGAGAGGTCCATGGTTCAATTTCTTGTCCCAGCAACACCGAGTATACTCATTCGGAGCTGGAGTGAAGGTGTAGAGCTCTCCATTTAGGGGCTTCGTTTAAACTGGAAAAAGTATTAAAAACCTCGAGAAACTCAAAACTTTTATTGAAAGGTCAAGATTTGTATTCAATTAAAAAAAAACGGGTTATTCGTTAAAAAATGTGGTTTATTCGATATTCGAAAATTCCAAGATTTCAAAAAAAAACTGCCTATAGATATAAAAAAATCGGTGGAAACCGGTTTGGAAAAACCGAGTCGATCAACCTACTACATACTTACTTCTACTACCCACGGTTCGCCGGAACGTTGTTATTTTGAAATTGTCGGGTACCTCCGATTTACTTTCACTAAATGGTATTGGGATGCCGTAAACTTAGAGCAATTGTATTTAAAATCGTAAAGCTATGTCTCACCCTCCAAAACATCAAAAACTAGTAAAACTTGAAAAAAACTGTTTTTAAATGAAGAAGAAAATTTATGGGAATAAATTTATAAATTTTTGTATTAAAATTATATAAATTTTTATGATAAATGATAATTAGAACAATGTTAAATCACGGGCATTAAATACTAAAATAAAAATATGTACATGAATTCATAGTTTTATTTAACAAGCAGAAAATTTTGTCACGGCAAATGAATATCACCAATGGCAGTGGTACGCCGATTTTGGGTCCAAAAGGGATCTCTCACCACCTGTTAACGTATTTACGGATGAATGGAAGCTGATTGGGCGGGTAGGTAGAGGTGTCATCTGCAAAAATCTCACATTCAACGTAAAATTTAGGCTACCTGATCACAGTAGTGGCTTCCAAACACTCCCTATTGCAAGGTTGCTCCCTATTGCAACACCTTTCAAGGAGGTGAATATCTATTCCGACCGCCAAGCAGATATCACGACTCTTAGCTCCCTAATGGTTCGCCCGAGAACGTTGAAAGATTGTTTGACCTCCTTATGGACCACATCGGATTACTATGCTATATTAAGCTCACTTGGGTTACAGGTCATCGCGAAATTGCTGGAAACTACACAGCCGATGAGCTGCGAAGAAAGGGAGCCCTTGAATTGCTCCTGGAAAGATGTGCATATCGTCAGCTCAGCGTGAGCTAGGCGAAGACCACGTAGAGACCGAAGACGGTGTAGGGAGCTCGTGAGACTAAGTCAGTTACACCTCTCGCTATTGGTTGGAGCCCCTGCTGTTCATTGAGTGATAGGCAAGCATGCGTAGGGTAAGCATGCGTATGGCTAAATAGCATCGATGGTCCTTAATGCACCTTAATGCATGGTGGAATAATCTCAATATCTGCTGCTCTGGTTTCCCGCCGTAGGGAGCCTAAGATTCAAACACCTTAGGTGGCATTTTTTCACACTTCCGATGAGCTTCCGGGAATATCTATCAGTCGTTGAGCAACTTTGTAGTGAGCACGGAGCGTTTTACTTTAAAAAAAATAATAATGTTAGGTGTTATTGCTCTATTCCTCCTCCTACCTCTCTTTCTTAAAAATCATTGCGGGGGTTCAACGTGGTCACTACTCTGCTTATATGATGATTTCCACAAGATTCCGCTCCGCTATAAATCCTGCTCCGAACTTCATTTACACTGCTGTTTGCCAATCTGATAGCCCAAACCTCAATCTGCCGCGCTATAAATTATGGTTCTCTCGGGATGCCTAGGCTTAACTACGCGCGCGTTTATCGAGAAGTGCCAAATTTCTCCTTACATTGGGTGCATACTGTAATCGATGTGCGGCTAAATCGACTTTGCCGTTGCTGTAAGAAAAATTGATGCCCTTCCGAATATAGTGTCTGGAATTTTCAGCCATTGGGTTAAAAGAAAAAAGTTCTGAATAATATTCTATATTTTTCTTTTTATTAGGCAAAAAGTATGTACCGAAACATTTTCGTGTACCACGTAATATATTAGAATTTATTTGTAAATACTTACATTGCCAAAATTGTCCAGCCATTAACAAAATAACGTTAAGTTTTGAAAAATTTTTTCTTTTATTTTATTTCCTTTATTATTTTATACACCTTTTGATATTTTTACTATTTCATAAGGTTAGTCTTCTAGATGTTGTATATTACTTAGATTCTTAATTTACATTAACTAGTTTGTAATTTTTGCTACTGGCTTACATCTTATTTTTTAAGCTTTATTAGCTAACAGTTTGTTTCTGAAACTTTTGCTTTATTCTTTATTTATTATTTAATTTATACATACTAAATCGAAATTTATTATCTGTGCTCGCATTTTCATAATTTCATTTACATTACGTATAAATAGCTTTATATTAATTACTAAAGTTTACTTTATTTATGTTTCCTTTTATTATGTACTCTCAATGGGAATATTTTTGGACTTTCATTACTGAGTACATACTAAAAAGTCATAAAAAATTTAAATATTTTCAAAATTTTTAACAATTATAGGAAAAGAACAATAAACTACCATACATATGGTGCAAGAACAAATGACTCAAGGTCATCTATTTAAAATTTGATCCGCAAAGAAATAAATGAAACTTTTATGAAAGCAATGCAAACAAGTAAGAAAGTCTAAGTTTGGGCGGAGCCGAACACTAAATACCCGGCGCAAGTATTAAATATATGTTTTCACCTCTCCGAAAGCTACCGCTACATGGTAAGCCGGGGTGTATCAATTTTGAGTAAACTAGCGTCCTTAACTTTCGAAATGTGGAAATTTCAAGCATTTCTGAAATTTACCGTTATATGAAAAGCGGCCTAAATTTTGGTCCGATTTCAATAATTTTCAACGTTTTGCTTCTATGTGGCAAGTAAAGTAACCACACAGAGTTTGGTACAAATTGGTAGAACGGTTACCGAGATACATATGTGTGATTACAAGTGGGCGGTGCCACTCCCATTTTCCAAAATTTTAGCATAAACGTATTTCTTAGTAAAGAATTGTTCCAAGCATCAATTTTGAATAAACTAGCTTTAATATTTACTGATTTATCGAGGAATTCGTATTTCTCTCTCTTATTGTAGCAAGGCCAACAACAGTCAAAAGTTTGGAAGAAATTGGTGCAGCGGTTACCAAGATATGCACATGTAACCATAAGTGGGCGTGGCTATGCCCATTTTTCAAAAATTTATAATATTCTTATTTTTCGTCTAAAATTTATTGTAAATATCAATTTTGAGTGAATAATCTTCAGTAGTTACTAAAGTATCGAAGTTTTTGTATTTCTGAAAATTACCGTTATATGGGAGGTAGGCGTGGTTATTGTCCGCTTTTCCCATTTTCAATACCATCCGTCCTACGAACGAAAGAAGTGTACGTACCAAGTTTGGTTAAGGTATCTCGATTTTTGCTTGAGTTATCGTGTACACGGACGGACGGACAGACGGACAGACGGACGGACAGACAGTCACCGCTTAATCGATTTCTCGTTTCATTCTGATCATTTATGTGTACATTTGTCTGTATCTATCTCGATTCGTTTTGCCTGTTACAAACAACCGTTATGTGAAAAAAGTTATAATACCCTTGTGCACAAGAGCGCTCGGGTATAAAAAGGTAAGTAGCGGTAAACTAATTATCAATAGACACATAAGAGCATTCGTGATTTGAAAAATAAAAAAATCTTTTTCGAGAACAATTTTCCTGTTCCTTTTTTCATTTGAGTTCCGCGCACACGAATAGTGGTTTTTCGACCAAGCACCCACGAATATCATTTAAAAATGGGCAAATTACGTACCGTTATTCATAGTTAACTTCTAAATGCATTTTATGAGTTTGATACATTTTTATTACTCTCATTAGGTTGGAAAAAATTGTCGAATTAGTGACACAATATTTGGCTTCGTATGCGGTAGAGGATTAACTAAGTTAGCTAAAATTATGTAAATTTGAATATAAATTTTCTATTAATTTTAAATAGGTTTGCCATACTTAAAATAAATGTATTTAAGAGTTTTGCTTCAAAATTCAATCGGATTCGAATATGTGTATTGATAAAGATATTGCCACCTAAACGTGTCAAGTCCACTTTTTTTCAAAATTTAGTTTTCAAATTTCAAGATAATGCGAAACTACATCGATTTTTCGTCTCTCCTGAACAGTTTCAAAAAATCTTCTTGGCACCTTTTCCCCTTTAGGTAACGAAATGTGCTCTCACAAGTTTTGCTTGGTATAAAACTAAAGAAAAAAGGTACGCGATGATGGTACAAAAAATAATAATAATTTTGAAATTTTTTTTTTTCAACAGTTTACTATAAATTTTTAATAGTTTACTATAAAAAAATATCTGTCAAATTAGTGCATGTCAGAACATGCAAAAAATATGTCCGCGAGCAAAAACAGCAAGCACAGAGGCTCCCAACGCAATGGAAAGACTAAGTGGAGAAGGACTTGGCTTCACTTGGCATTTCCAATTGGCGTCAGTTGCCACAGCAGAGAAACGACTGGCGTGCTTTGTTGAACGCGGCCAAATCGCTAAGGCGGTTACAACGCCAAATAAGAAGGTGAAGAATCAGATATTTTTTATGGCTGTAAATTATTTGAAACTACTACCAAAGATTAGCTAATACGTCATTCTAAGTAGCAACTAAGAACAGTCAAATAATGAAGGATCTGAACGTTTTTGGCTTACTTCTACGTTTTACTAAAAATATTCCTATATAACACGTTCATTTAAAATCTATTTACTTATGTATGTAAGTATATTACATTTTACGCTTAGAAGAGCTTATACGCCATACATATTTACATTTCCCATATAACCACTAATTATCCTCTACTTATGCAGCTACACATATTCATAGCTTATTGTTTATAAGCTTTCCCTGCTTTCTATGTATTCTACAGAAATTGCGCCACCACTCCAGCGCTTCTACGCCGCCACAACATCCTACGCCACTATCAATCATTGGCCAACTTCAGTCGCACCGCAATTCGTTTGCACTTCCACATCAGCTGTGTCTCCAGTATGCTAAAAGACATGGCGACCAACACCAAGCCGAGCAGCAAATAAGCGCAACAAGCAAAGAGCTGCACATGCGGCCCATGAAAAGTACGCTCGGGTATAAAGTCACCATAGCCAATGGTGGCCAAGGTGACAAAGCAAAAGTAGGCGCCATCCACAATGGACCAATTCTCCCAGAAAGCAAAAATCACAGTACCCAAACAAATATAGCAGATGAGTATGAGCAGCACAATGCTGATGGGCACCTGTGGGCCAGCGTCGTCGGGGTCTGTCATTGAGGCGGCATCTTCATCGCCGTCTGCATCGTCAGTGGACGCACCGCTGGCATCGCAGTAATCATGTTCGTCCGCCGTGTGCGCGCAGCTGCTGTGATGCTTCCTCTTATGTTTGCAGTTGCTGTTGAGTTTTGTGAGGCGGAATTGTTCGGATGGCGTCGCATCGCGTTGCATGTAAGCTGCGTCCTCCCCATCGTCGGAGGTTTCATCGGTTACCGTGTCGCCATAGCAGCTGCTCACTTTCCCACTTCTATGATGGCTTGTCGTATGGACGTTGCAGCCAGCGCGGCGTATGGCGGTGAAATTGGCGGATTTGCGTAACGCGGCGTTACGTTGGAATGTATTGAGGGTGTGACGATGAAAGGATGCAGCGGTAGCGTTTAGGAGGCTGCGCGCACCTCTCTGATCATCTGTATGCGTGGTGCTGTTGCTGTTGTTTTGGCCCATGCCGCTGCTGCTGGTGCTGTTGCCACCGCCGGCGATGAGCGGTACGCGTGATGGCGTACCATGTGGGCAATTGCTAGAAGGGAGAAGGAGAAAATTTAAAAGTTTTGTTAGTCAGAAATGAACTCGGCTCTTTTGTTTAATTATTGTATGCTTCCACAAAATAATTAGAAAAATGCTCACTGTCTCTTTCATATACTTATAGACTTATTTATTAATGTACTTTAGAGTTATTTGAAAATGAAAATAAAGAACTGCGTTACCTTAATTGGCATTCATGCTCTTTCAACGAGAATTTTTTTTTTTTATCCAATTACCTATCTAACAAAAACTTGTTTTAGTTATCAAAATGATTCAACCTCCGAATCATTAAACAAATGGGGGTAACTTCTACTTTTTTATGTGGCGATCGATTCATGAACTTACATACTCTGCAGGCCATTACTTAAGCTGATTTTTTCTATAGTACCAGTAACATTTTCCAGCCTAACGCTGGATCATTTTTGCTGCAGATAAATCAGCACACAGCTTTTTTCGAGATGCAATACTTTTGTCTGCAGTTGTTTGTTGTACAAGCGTATGAAAAAATGTGTTAAACGTTTTTGCTTTCTTAGCGATTACCATCTTGCATTACCAGTGGGTTTTGTAACAAATTTGAAGTTTCAAGGCAATAGCTCATCAGGACGTTAGTTAAAAATTGATTAAAATATTCGAATGCATACAGGTGAAACTTAGAAAAGTTTTTAATAAATAAATAAACATAAGTGGTGGACAATCTAATTCGGTAACTCACTTTAACCTATTTCAGATTATGGAACACTATATCCTTAGAAAACAAGTGTTTATAGATAAAACTTGCCTTAATTAATTTTCTCTTTTCTAAGCACCAACAACTGCAGCATTATTGACTCTCATTTCAACATCGTATGTACATCCCTTATTTACTTTATTGGAAATTTAGCGTCTCCGTCAGTCAATCAATTCTTTTTTTATATTTGTTTTGGAAATATTTCTCTCCATTCACACCATATTTTAGCATATCATACTCGCGGTGAAAACTTTTCAGAGCTTTCAACAAAACCCTTTTCTTGTCCCTTTTACTTCCTAGCTTCGAGCCTAATTCTCTGTTGTATTACACACTTGTTTTTTTTGTCGATTCATTTGCTTAACCTAGCAATCAATTTATCTCGTTTACCCCTCTCCTTAACCTTTAAAAGTAATCCAATCGTTGCGCTCAATTTAATATTTAAACAAACGAAAAACCAAAATACGTACATACATGCATAGCCATTCACAAGCATGCCCCTCGTAGGCTTTCTTTCACACACTTCGAGTGCACATGGCGTATACGTGACATTTTACTTAACCGCACAGAAGTTCTTACGTCACACTAACACACAGGCATTCATAATATTTTGCCGGGTCGCAGATTTCGCTGAGCAATGCCATTTGCATAGTTTTGTGCTTTTAAACGGTATACAGTTTTCTACGTACTTACGTAAACGCTTGTTAAGTCGCATACATATGCGCATACATATTTGTCTATTTTTATCCTAAGTACTGTATTGACTTTAGAAATTACTGCCTGTCATCGGCGAAATTTGCAGGTTATTTTTACGTTTGATTTATGATGTCAAAAAGCATAGAATAGTTTGAGCAAGTGCCGTACTATGTAGTTAATTAAAAGAAAGTACAAACTCATACATTTGTAGTTGGATAAATTAATTTTTCTTCAAGCTAGAAAGTGAAGATTAATCAGTTTATTGCAATTTTCCACAGTCTCAACAAAGGTGTCATTCTGTGTGGACGCAATATTTTCGGTGAGTATCATTTTCTAGTTTTTCTGTTTTTAAGAATTTATGTAGACACTTAAATTAGTTGATTTATCGAAATTGACAACGAAATGTCACAAAAAAAATATAAGAAAATTATTTGAATACAATTTTATTCAAATCGTAAAATGAAATGTGTGTACTATCAAACTAAATACTTTTGCATACTTATTTTTGTTATTTCAATCTATATACTATAAAAGTCTTTTAAAAAAGCTTAAAGTACAGTATCCAGTCAATCCAGTTCCACATCTTCCAAAATAATCCATCAAATTTTGTGAGCTGAACCCCTTTTATCCCCTCTGGGTGAAACTACAAAATTTTTAATAGGGTTACCACATGCTTAAAATTTTAATGTATCAAATATGAATTTTAAATAAAATATTGCAACGCGTTTTTATTGAATGAATGTTAATAAATGCTATTATATCCAGAAGTAATAATTTTGAAGAGAGTTGCCAACTATCTAAAAATATAAATCTCTATATATGCGAATGTATGTATGTATATGTAGAACACAGTTGCTTACTCAAGACCGAGCGAGAGATGTCTTTTTAAAGAATTTTTTAAATTGGAAAAAATTTTCGGAAAAATATAAATTTTCGGAAAAATGGATTTTCCGTTGGTTTCGTATAGAAGGTTTAAATAAAAAAAAATTATTTATTTATTTGATAAAAAAGGTTTTTATTTCTGCAGTATGTCTTTCATGAGAAGGAGCATATCGTCCTTAATTCACAAAGGCCCTAAGCAAAAAATGGTATAAAAGAGTATCGAAAATAGGTAGGAATTTAAAAAAAATAGCACATAACTCCATGGTTTTTTTATACTAAGACCTTAAAATATTTGTTGAAGGTGTGTTTTAAAACATCCTACCAAAACCTGTGAAAAACGCAATTTTGAAAAAATTGTTTGTGAATGTATGTCGGATATATTCGACCCCAAACTTAATTGAATAGAGTAGATATATATACGCCCACAAAGTAATGAATTTCTACCGCTTAGACTTTGTTGCTTTTTCAATTTTTCCTAATAAACAATCGTGGTACAAAGCTCAATAAAAATATTAAAAGTAATGAATTTCCGTTTTCAGTAAAATTTTAATATTCGTTAACGGAAAAACCTACTATCCCTAGGTTCGGCAAAAAAAAAAAACAATTTTTTTCGAAATTTGCTGTGCAAATATTTTTAACCCTCAGGTGTGTACTGCGAAATATTTTTGTTTACCTTTAAAATGGTAAGGTTTAATATAAATAAATACGTAAGTATATTTTTTCTTTATGTTTAGTTCTGAAAAGCAACTTTTACATTTCTAGCGACCAGTCGCAAAGTGAATCGCATTGAAAAGGTTTCCAAAACAAATTAAAATTCTTCCCACAAGTTCCTTAAAGTTTACTTAGTAATTTTTTGGAAAAAATAATGTTTCCATTGGTCTAAAGAGAGTTTCAGGTGCTTCTCGTTATGAATGCCAGAGGAAAAGTTAAAGGCAAAAATATTTCAAATATTTAAAAATAAAATATATTTTATTGGAAACTTCATAGTATTTCTATTAAAACTAATTTTTTAATATAACTTAAAACAATCCACATCTACGTGCTTACTATCCGAAATCGACCATACAAGCTGTTAACTCAACTACCAGAAAATCTGGTTTTTGAATTGCATTACAAAATAAGTTCATGAATAAAACCAATTTCCAAAGGGCAAACGATGAGTCAAGCAGCTGCTAAGAAAATTTGTGCCTTTCAAAAGGCTAGCTGGGCAGGAAGAAATGAGCAGTGAAATAAATGTAGCAACAAATGCACACACATAAAAACATATATGCTAGAGTACTGGCTACAAACCCGCAAAGTATTGCAAGCTTGTGAAATGCTATTGAACATCCATAAATAAATTTTATAAATTCTTACATTTATGAAATTGGAAACAAACATAAACATACTTATGTATGTATGTTTACATATGTATGTACAAGGTATTTATACAGTACCACGAGACAAGTGAGCTGAAATGTTATCAAGCTTCTCGCTACATAACGTATACGCCATGTATACTATTTCATTTTTTGTGAGGTTTTGTAGATGTAGTAGCAGTGGTAAATGTATCTATAACATCGAACAGTAAAATCAAATATGTATAAAATTGGAAAGCATATTTCTTGAACTCTAAGCCCGCTGGCCTACAAGTGTAGAGGCAGCTGTGTTGCAAAGCCAATGCAATAGAGCAGAAGAGTTAAAAACATATGTAAGCATGTATGTACCAAAATATGAAGGGCTGCTGTAAATTTTATGATAAGTATAAAACATTTGTACATTTATAAATACATATATATGCGCATATCGTAGTTGTTGCATTTGACCACATGCATAAAATTATATAGATCGAAGCATTTACGTCTATGGAACTGCTTTAATAATTCCTAATAGTAAAGTCTTTGACAGCATATTTATATATTTGAAACATTTTGATATAATCAGCCAGGTTTTGTAATTCACTTTCGAGTGAATCTCGTCCCCATTCAATTCGAATTTAAAGTGAGTTTGATTCAATTTCACTCGGAAGTAAATTGCAGAACTTGCCCGAATGATTACTAAAATGATTGAAATGCAATCGCAAGAAGAGTCAAAACTGAAGCTGTAAGCGGAACTATTTATGAGAAATGTCTAAAATAGTGTATGCACATAAGTCCGAGAGCAATTTGAAAAGTCAGTAGTTCGTGAAATTTTTCGCGCAGTAATATTAAATGCAAATGTCAAATAGGATCCCTTTTACAGACTACTGTGAAATTACGAGCAATCTGCTTCTTTAAATTTGTGTTTGACAGCCATTTAAAGCAGACAACCTCGGGAATTTTTCGTGAAAATGGATAGAGTGAATTTCTTATGCTGATTTTGTGCTTTAAAAATCTACTACCGAAACCAAGGAAATGCCTTGCAAATAGTATGGAGATTCTGCGCGATTAATTTCAATGGTTAAAAAATGGTTTACTAAGTTTCGATGCGGTCGTATCAGCACAAGGCTCTGCGAACGTCTAGGTTGTCCGTGAAAGTTGCGAGAGTTGGTTGAGCCTATAGACCTCTTATCTGGGAAGATGTTAAGCGGCATCCGAGACAATGAATATCCAGTGAATATTTTCTGTTTTCAAACCCAAAGAAATGGCTGGATGGTGAGAGATTTGGGTTAAATGAAGAGATCGTTACTGAAACAAAAGCTTATTTTGAGGACTTTTTAAGGAAGTAAAAAAATT